ACTTTTTGCAATTCTTTGTAAATTATGCACTTGCATAAACACACACTTAGGAAAATTAACCCACTTTGTTCACGGTAATTTTGATCTAGGATCCCAAAGGTATGAGCCAATTTGTAAAATAAATCACTGTAGCTCTTTCAGAATTACATATTTCTTTTTTGTTCAACTACATACTTCAGCTAATCTCAAATGCAGGAGAATGCATAAAGCTTAACCCACCTCACAGTTACTAGTAGGTGATAAAAACGCATTATACCCACAAATCACTTTACAAAATTGCTTCCAAAAAAGTGACTTTGTTTCCCAAATAAGTGTATTAGTGGTCTCAACATATATCTCTGCAGAGCTTAATAAACCTGACTAGGGCAACTGGGTATTAATTTTCAGATAATTTCATCTGCACAACATTCCTTACTCTATTTTTTTGTGGAGTAATAAATGTCCTTGACCAACTTCTATAACTAGAAACTGATAATATCATCAGATAAAATGGTAATATCTAATCCCTGAATATTTTTTCACAAGTTACTTGCCCTTATTTGTGCCGTCCACGGTAACAAATGTTTTCAAAACGCACGCTAAAGCTTCCATCTAAAACATACAGTCCCATTAAGTATGCAGCTCCTAATTTTTCATGCACAGCTACTACACTTGCCTGGGTAAATCAGTTACTCCGTTTGCACATATGATTCCGGTAACAGCACATTAACATGACAAACTGCAACCAGTGTGGGCTGTTCACTGCAGTGAATTCTTTGCCTGGCTATGACTGCTGCCAAATGTGTTTCTGAACTGCATGGACAAATCCAGACCCCGGTTCATGAATGCCTTGCTATTCAGAACAGCACTAAAAAGCATGCATAACTTAAGCATGGGCTAACCCTGAAATGAATGGGATTTAATGAAGTCAGTGGAAGTTAATCTAATGCTTATACACTTAATACTTTTTAAAAATTGGCTAAGATCTCATCTAACACATGTAAAATTAGAAAAGCAAGAAATACTTTATGCTTTGTCAATCTTTCCATGTTTGCATTTCAAGTGGTTCATTATAATTGCCTAAAGAATGGTGCTCTGTCATCTGAAATGTCTGTTCATTACCAGAAATCCTTCCATGTGTCTACTGAATTCCAACAGGTAGAAGCAGGCTAGCATGAGTGTCCCTATGCATGGTGGCAGAAGACAAACTGGGCCCTACTGCTATTTTGTTTATCCTAATATAACATGCCCTGGCTCCAGCAGAGTAACTCCTGTACCACAGTTACAAAGCTGACTTTCCCAGACAGATGAATAGCTGATTGATGTGCTCTCCCCTGTCTGAAGACGGGTACCCCTGCCACAGGGATAAGCAAACAAGACATATCAATCCCTGAGCAGCAAGACACTACAGCCCTGCTACCAACACAAACTAGCGTTGATCTCATTTTGACACGCCAGGTTGTACACTGCTGCAGACCAGGGGTTGTAAAGTCTCCCTGTTCTGGGAACAACAACCTGTAGTGGAAGTCCAAAGCAGGCAATGGGGGGCAATAAGTGCCTCAGCCATCCCAAATTAACCTCCCGCTGTCCGTGATTCAATACTCTGAGAGCGAATTAGGCTTCCTAAGTCTGACAGCTTGTAAATAAGATGCTAAGGGTATAAACAATTTGCAGGAAGGAAAAAATATTGCCCAGGGCTTGAGGGTAAAATAAAGAAAAAGCAAAAGAGTAAAAAGGGAAAAGTGTAATAGTTTAGAAAGTAAGTATCTCATTGGATAGGTGTCTGGGATAAAATAGCCCTGTTAATTTCCTTCCCACCTTATCTTCCCCAAATCAAATTTTTTAAAAAAAAATCTGTATCTTCTTGCCATATAATTTTCACGTAAACTGATGACTTAGAGGCCATAACTCCAAGTCATAACCTTGCCAAAATTATTTCAAGAAATATATTCAGCTAACCTTTGGGTTGGCACCTTAGGCTGGCTATTCTCTGCCTTAAGACGTAGAACGCTGCAAAACAAATAACCAAAAAAGAAATTCCAGCTTTTTTTTTTTTTTTTTCCTGTAA